CTTTGAATTCACTTCAAAGATGTCTCGCTTGCTGAAAGTGGCAGAGTTGAAAATGACCCAATACTTTCTAAACCTTAACATGACAGTAAATTATGTCTTTTCCCTCTGTTCAGTTAACAGCTGCCTGGCACCTGCTGCAAACTAAGAGCAATTACAAAGCAGATTCGTTTGAGTCACCTTTTCATAGCCGTTCTGTAGACAATAAACATGCCAGCCACAAGTTTGTCCCATAGTTTACACAACAGTACACCACATTATAAAAAAGAAAGAAAGCATAATGAAAACATAATTTTCATTTGTTTAATGAATCTGTCGTTCCATGGCACATTTTATAATACGATCATAACGTTTGTTCTAGCATAGAAGTGCTCTGAAAATGAAGACTAATAATTATTAATTTTCCAGTCAGCTTACACAGCTGTGTTTAGCAATCTGTGGTTATATTAAAAAGAAAGAATTCCTTAAATTAAATGATATGGTTCTCAGTTTTATGAATTTTGTCCAATTATCACTTAGACATTTCCTTTAAAACTTAATTTTAGTTTTTAAGCCAATTGTTTTGCAGGTTATTTCATTCAGCATCATTCTTAAAATGTATGATAATAAAATATTATATAGTGAATTATACAACGTTCCTTTAAATACCATTGAATGTCTTGTAGAAAATTGAATTTAGCTGAGGTGTTGTTTAATTTCATCATCCTAACACTTGGTTGGAAGGAATTTTTAAGACCTCTGGTTAAAGCCTGAACAGAGTGACATATGATGTTTCTCCGTTGAGCTCTTTAGGGATGAAACATGAAAGCGTAATGGACAACAACGCATTAGTGAAGCACTACTTGAGAAAACAGTCTGATAAAAAGGTTCATTGAGTGCAAAAGGTGAAGATGCTGTGTGTTCAAGGAATCTTATTTGGCCAATTACACTGAATCAATCCATTAGTCATGCTTGTGTGTATGCATTCTTCTCATGAGTATGTAGAGATTTCTTAATTTATTATTCAATTCCCATTTATTTGTAGCTCTTTTCACAATACATATTCAAAAGCATCTTTACAGAAAATGCATGTCTACATTACATTTTAGAGATCTTTTATCAGAGGTGACTGTGTCTAAGTAATGTATTTCAGAAATGTACATATACAAATCACTCAGTTAGCTAACATCATGTATTAATTTTAACCCTTTGATGCACAACATGGGTCTAAATAGACCCGACTGAGTTTTCATTTTCTATATCTTTGCAAGAAATTAATTTCATCATTCAGTATTCCAGGTATTCCTCAATTAACTTGTTTTAGATCATTACAAATCCTTATTTAAATTTTTCCTTTCTTACTTTTCGAATAAAAATCGTTTTTGTGTCACTACCCTTCTAATGCGCAACATGGGTCTAAAAAGACCCGTATTCATGTTTCTTTGCTGAATATTTGAAAGAAATGTATTTGATCATTTATTAATCCAGGTATTCATTAAATATCTTGTTTTTGATTTCCACAAATCATTATTTTTATTGTTCCTTTCTTACTTTATAAACAAACACGGTTTTTGTATTTCTACATCAATTTTACACACATGGTTCAAAAATGACCCATATAGGAACCTTTGATATTTATAAATAGTATAAATATATTTACTGCAGAAAACTATTCACCTGCCACACATTTCACAATTTAAGACGGCTGCTTTTGTATATTTCATGCATGTAAGTTTTATTTAATACATTTTTTGTCACAGAAAATATTTGATATTTTGTGAAAGACATCTAGATATAGCCTAATATTTTAACGTTTAGGCTAAGGTTACCTTGACCTTGAAATCCATTACTAGTGCAAAAGAGAAACATGTCCAATACTATTAGCTAGCTTGCGGTCAACATATTTTATTTTATCTAATGTTAGATAGGTCAACAAAATAAAAGTTGCAAAAAAGTCCTCCATATTAGTTTTTATTTGTGGTCATAAATCAATGCTATCGGTTACATAAGCCGTCGTGTGGTGGCGTTCTGGTGCACTATGGCTGCTGTCGCATCATCTTGGTGGATGCTGCACATTGGTGGTGGGGAGATCCCCCTACAGTTGCACTACACTACAGTTCAATTTCAGTGTCATCGGTTATATGTGTGTTATGTGTGACAAAGTGGCCAATAAACATATTTCAAGTGCTACAGTAAATGTGTTGATCTAAACAACTGTGACAATGGTTATTTTAACAAAAAGTTTTCTTTATTCTTTTGTTTTATCACGCTTGCATAGATGGGTCATTTTAGACCCATGTGTGTGAACTTGATGTATTTACACAAAACCTAGGAAATATTAAAATATGAATTTGTGATAATTGAAAACAAGATATTTTGAATATTCATAAATCATGAAATTTATAGATCATGAAATATAAAATGCTCAAATAAAGTGATTTCAAAAGGTGAAACAAAAAAATGCCGAGCCATGCATGAAATAACATAGGAAATGAATACGGGTCTTTTTAGACCCATGTTGTGCATTAGAGGTGGTATAGCTTGCGCATCAAAGGGTTAAGCAGAAACAATGAGCTCATTGAAGTAATCATTACAAATATTATGCGCATTTTTTTTCTTTATTTGTGGGTATAACCGACCACATTTTTACAAAGAACCTTGGAAATTTACAACAATTTTGCTAAATAAGTGTCCAATTTTATTTATTGTTCTTTAATTTGTGTGTCTTTATTTTATTTTATTTTGTTTATTTATGTATGTCATAAATTATAATTCTGAGATGTAATTCTGAGTTGTAGTTATCGGAGTTATAGTAAGTATAATATATTTATTTATGATAGTCTGTCAGACATTTAGTCACCATTATATTTAGCTAATTAGATTCCTCGCCACTTATTCTGCAAGAGAAAACCACTGTGACACATTGCTAAATGTTTCCATTTAAATGACGCATTCTGTAAGGCAGTGCTGGTTGTAAACTTAAACTGACTTAAAAAGGTGAAAACGTTTTGCAAGAGTAATTGATAAACTTATGATATTGTACCTAAATGTTTATACTCATTTACAATAGTATAAATAGAATTTGGGGAAAGGATTTAGCATACTAAGCCCTTTTGATGTGTTTAGTCAAAGCAGTAGCGTGGGGCAGCGCCCGTGAGGACTCATTTTTACCTTAAAATCCTCTTGCCAGCTCAATTATGGCAGCACATCACTGGATCTCTTGAGCGAATTTGTGCGGCGTGTTAAGGCGTGCATGAACTCAGCACAGTAGTTCGACTGTTGGACAGCAGAGACCTTTTGAAGACCATTCCCCACTGTTCCAGGCCTGCTTCTCATTAGCTGAGGGATGTGGTACATTAGAATCTCTGCATTTGGTACCAGATCTCTGTATCTTCTACTGCCAGAGGTTCCAACCAACCTGCCAGGGCACAAATGTGTCTCTGTTTCTCTTTACTGGGCCAGTGTGTCTGAACAACTTGCACACCCAAAGAGAAGCAAAACAAACACCATGACCAAGTCCAATACACGAGAGGACTGACAGAGTTGTTTTTTATTTAACCATATTGGCTACTAATGCATTCTGCCATGTGCAGTGATTCTGACCTCAGTGGTCGTGTATGTCACCCCTGCCCTGTGGAGCTTGGTGAGGTGGTATCATCCATTAAGATGAGCTGCCATGACAAAGGCATTCTTGTACAGATAAGACTAGTTTTAAAAGGAAGTTCACAATGAAAAATGGTTTCTTTTCTTTTTACTATGCGAGACCAAGCAGGAGCACCTACTGGAAACGAATGGCTGAAGACTCTGTGATCTCCACCTATTTAATCGCTGTCATTGCGAGCACAGCATAATCCAGCTTTTGATAACACAAGTAGTACAATATTAGCATTACTCAAATATGTTAATTTTGTTATATTAGGATCTGTAATACTAAGTTGGGCTTATCAGATTTAAGTATAATATCCTTTTTGCATATCTGACATTTAATCATTTATGATTTGCGAATTAGATATTTCTACTCATTCTGTAAGAGAAAATCACTGTGACCCATTACTACATCTCTTTTCATTTACAGAAAACATTTACTGTAAGAACAAATGGCAGTAAATTGATATATTGTCAATTCAGGTTTCTAAAAAAAATAGAAAGAGAAAAATGTACACTACCATTTGGAGTTTGTAATATTTTTTTTAATGTTTGAAAGAAGTATCTTATGCTCATCAAGGCTGCATTTATTTGATTAAAAATACTGTAAAAAATATTACAGTTTAAAATAATACTTTTCTATGTGAATATGTTTTAAAATGTATTCACTGTGATGGGAAGGCAAAACTTTCAGCATCATTACTCCAGTCTTCAGTGTCACATGATCCTTCGCAAATCATTCTAATATGATGATTTGCTGCTCAAGAAACTTTTCTAATTATTATCAATGTTGAAAACAGTTGTGCTGCTTAATATTTTTGTGGATACTTAGATACTTTGTTTCAGAGTTCTTTGATGAGGAACAGGATTTATTTGAAATAGAAATCTCTTGTAAAATTATAAATGTCTTTTACGGTCACTTTTGATCAATTTAGTGCATCTTTGCTTAATAAAAGTAGTAATTTCTTTCAAAAAACCTTTTGAACAGTATAGTATGAGGATGTGTTCTTTTCTTGTTCACCTGATAATTGTAATTATTAATTATAATTATTACCCTGTTTTCCCTTTGTAGTAAATAGTGACTGGTGAAAGGGCTGAACAGCACTTTGCTTTCTGTACCAATTTAGAAGATGGAACCACCAAACTCCGCTTCAACATGCACCAGTTCCTCTTGAGGTCTTCCACGAACACACTTGATCTGAAATCTCTTGTTTGAATTCACTGTCCAAATGCGTTCATTTTTCTGATGTTTTTTCCAGGTACCTTGGGAATCATCACAGGTGCATCACTACTTAAAAACATTTGTGGGACCCCTGAATCATTTCTACAGTGGCCATTTGATGATCTACATTCAGAGGGAAAGTAACTTGAAGAACATCATGAGGCCTGCTGGTCTCAGCCCAGCGGTTGCACAGCTGGAACAGTGTGGCCTGGTTAACAGTGATGAAAAGTACCTTTCCTCTTTAAATCAAGCAATTCACCTGGAAGGTCTTAAGATGTGTAGCTTATCTGAGTCACCTGTGTCGATAAGAACAGATGATCCCGATTTGGTCTGTTCCACAGAAAGTGCCATTGTGTCGTATTTCAGCGGGGTTAAGAGTGACTCATCCTGCACTCTCTCGGTTGGAGATAACTTCTCGCACGTTAGCGACACATTGCCCCCTTCCTTATTCTACTCTTCCCTGTCTTCTTTCAGTGCATTCTCTCCGTCCTTCTCTTCCCCTTCCTCCAGCCACTCATCTGGCTCAATGTCAGAGCTATGTTTGACTTCTCCATCTTTTTCAACTTTCTGCGGTCCACCTGAGGCCCAGGACCTTCTATACAGTTGCACGCCACAGGAGAAATCTCCAGAAGGATGTTTGTATTCCAAGTCTCCTAAGCAAGAACCTGTTGTTGAATTTCATCTTTGTAACAAGAAGCTTCTACACAAGGAAGAACTGCTTCAATATCTCTGCACTGACTCGGACACAGCCAAGGAACGAACCCAGCACCTTAATGTTGAAGAGCTTCCCACACAGCAGCAGTTCAAGAATGGTTTGGCACTGAGTGGGATGCCTAGAGTTGAGGGAATGAATGGACACCCGAGGGAAGAACAGCCATGTAAATGGATGGATTGTAGGGCTACCTATGGACAGAAGGAAGATTTGGTGAGACACATAGAGAAAGTTCACATAGATCAGCGAAAAGGGGAGGAATTTACCTGCTTCTGGGCAGGGTGTGTCCGTCAGCACAAGCCCTTCAATGCTCGATACAAACTGCTCATTCACATGAGAGTCCATTCTGGTGAGAAGCCCAATAAATGCACGGTGAGTTTATTTTTTATGCCGTATACATGCATATTTGCCAACAGGGCATACAAAAAATGTCCCAAAATTCTACAAACATCATCTTGACCTGCATGTTAGGAAAACAAGTAAATGATCTAATTCCATTTTCATCGTTTTTACACAAAAGCCACGGTCAGCCCAAACCGTTCTTATTGCTTAACTGCCCCATTACGTGCTGATCCGGCCCAGCCAGTAAGGATATGGTTTCATTTTCCACAGTGTTGCTGATAACGGAGCTCTTTGGAATGTTACACAAACACGTCAGTAGTTGCCTTGGTAATGCAACAGTTTACAAACTATATGAGATGTAAATCGAGACCATGTTATGGAGGATGATCCGTTATTTTTATTATTATCTTGTGTTAACTTCACTCAAATAGCATCGCATGCCAGCTACAGAGAAACTTGCCAGCAGCCAGACAAGACAAGTGACCAATCCTGAGTCGCAACGTTACATGCATTCTAACAGCCCGGTTAGCCGAGAACATACCGAACCGAGCTCAAGTGGAAATATAACTGCAACTGTCCCTTACCGTTCTTAGAACCGTTCAGCCTGATGGTGGAAAAGCGGCTAAACTGTAGCGTTGACTTCATTTTTCGAGCTAAAACATTCAACCCTGTTACCAAAGTAATCAAAGATTAAAGATGGAAAATCTGAATTTATCAACACCTACAAACAAACAAACATTTTGTCCCAAACTAGATCTACCCTGCTATTATTATCCAAACAGTTGTTGGTAATAAGGTTAAAATCTTATATAAAATGAATAGAAATTTATATATAAATGATAGTTGGTGAGCTGCGTAAACATCATTTTCTGATGTCTTTTTTACCCTCTTTTTGCTTACTTACACAAGTATCAAATTGTGCCAGACTCTGACTCCGGTGTTGTTTTACTAATACATAGTTTGTATCAATCAGTAAAAGTTCAAGAGATTTTTCTTTTAAACCATGCCAATTCTTTGAAGTAAGACATTTGTGAAAGACTGACATGTGGACTCAATCTCTCTTCACCTCCAAAGATGGATGCAATGCAGATTTGAAAGATTTAGACATTTTAGAATTGTTTATAGTTCACGTACAAATTGCCTTCGTGAGAGATGCTTGAAGTCTGATATCATGCAATGATCAATTTAGTCAACTCATTCCAGGATAACTTTGAAGAAGATTTTTTTAGACTAAGATTTTTTTTTAACTTAATTTTCTGATTGTTCTTTAGGTATTCAACAAGTGTGACTTATAAGTGCCCTCATGCAATGTGAGGGAACAGCAAAACATCTCTTTCCTTATGCTCTGTTTCCATGCTCTGTTAGCTGATATTGAATTATAAGAACAAAAATTTTATTTAATACTGTTCCATCTCTTATTTTTTGCAGAGAGATTTGCTGTTATACATATATATATATATATACATAGACTATAACACAGAATGCAGTAACTGTTAGCAGTTATATCCATTACATGCTCAAATATACTATTGTAGGCAGGGATAAACTATAATAATTGAATACTTTAATGAAGCTGTGTTTCATTTCCTTCACAATGAGCCACATAGGAAATGTGTTTCTGTTTAGTGATGTAAGATAGCCATGGGATATTTTTTTTAATCTATTTGCTGTTTTTATTTGTTTTATTTTTCTCTTTAAACTGTGGTGGCCGAAGGACTATAATTTGGGAACTATTATCAGATTTTTACACTGTAGGTGGATTATTATAATATGTAACCTTGTGATTTTTAAAATAGGCCTACTTTTTTTTGTACATAGCATAGCTGTCAATACAAAGTGAACATTCATATGAATTTTGTAAATTTATTTACTTTTTTAATACTACCGGTATGTTATCAAGATAAAAAAAAGAAAGAAAAGTAAGAGTATATTATACATGATGCAGAAATTGTCTACTTTAACGTAGACAGGGATGGTTGCTTTTTTACATTCGTAACTCATTTGTAAGTGTAATTCACCAAAAGTATATTAAGTTTGGGTAAATATGTCTGCTAAATTAATAAATGTAAACGTCAACTTAGTTTAAATTTTAGTTATAAATGCATAGATATAAGGATGCTCAATGAAACCCTATTCATTTTTCATATAACCTCATCATGACATCACACCTGTGACCGCCAAAATGTGTTTTATAATTTTGCAGAATTGCTCCAACCAAAAGTCTGCATGACTGCGGCTGCCACCTTGAATCAGCCAGGCTTATTACTGACTCCCTCGCTGGCCTCTCTCCAACTCAAACATCTTAGCAGAGCCTTGTTCTAACAGGAACCAACTTTAAACATGTCTGTTTAATAAACTGTCGAGTGGCATGTGCTTGTGTGTGGATCTTCAGAACAGGCCTCATAAATGTGCATGAATTGACAACACAAATGGCACTTTTTGCAATTTACAACTAAAGGAATATTACAGTTTTATGTGGCTTGATATCTATTATTTTTCAATTTAAAGCAGTTAAAGTGTGTCTTTCGAAACCCGTATGACTTTCTTTCTTCTTGCTTTCTAATATTCCGTGGAACACTAAATTAATTATTGCTAACTTGAACAGCTAATGCTAATACAATAAAGTGAATGATTTTTGAGTACATATAATGGCTTAAATTTCAGTCTTTTCAGAAGAACTTGGAACATATGCACACAAATAGAAGTCGCACGGACTTCTTTTATGATGCTCCCTCCCCCCATCCACTTTGATTGAATGAAAGAGAGCAGCTTGAACATTCTTCAGAGGTTCTCTTTTTGTGTTCCATGGAAGAAAGTCAGTCATACGGGTTTGTTGTTAAAACATGAGGGTGGGTGAATTATGCCAGGGTTTTCATGTTTGGGTGGACTACTGTTACATAACTGTCACTGTGGCAAAAGCATTTTCTGTTTCAAAACTGGTATCATTTTGAGTGTTAAAAAAAGACATGGAAAAATGTTTCATGCAACCGTTTTTTAATTTTCTTGGTATCAGACGAGAAATTTTGTTTTTTGAGGAGGTGGAATGGCATTGGGTGACAAATAGTTTCACCAAAACCATCTGCCTTCTGTTTAATATCATCCTCTAATTAATATTAATTCCTGCTTACAGTGCAAAGCATGTTGTGCTCTCTGCCACTGGACTATAAGTCATAATTTGCATGTATATGTACATTCTCATACAGTGACGGACCTGCAGATATTTGTGAAGGCTTGTTTTCTTCATAATATTTCTGTGTGAATGGGTGCTGTCTTACAGTTTGAAGGCTGCAGTAAGGCATTTTCCCGTCTGGAGAACCTGAAGATCCACCTTCGCAGCCACACCGGAGAGAAGCCCTACATATGCCAGCATCCCGGCTGTTTCAAAGCCTTCAGCAACTCCAGTGATCGCGCCAAACACCAGCGCACACACCTGGACACGGTATGCATTACAGTTCTTACTGCTCTATCAGGTAAAAAAAAAAAAAAACATTAAAAAATGCACAGCAAAAAATTATACAATGGAGTTCAAAAGACTGGGAAGAGAAAAAAATAACTAAAAAGATTTAATTAATGTAAAATTTATTCAGAATAAGCTTGTGCAATATGTGCTTATAAGCTTCTGTAATTAAATATTAATAATTTGTTTAGGTCACTAATATATATAATATGTATATATAATAGCCTACATATATATATATATATATATATATATATATATATTACAACTCAATTTTTTTGAGGTCACTAATTAAATAAACAAACTAAGACCCCACTGTGTATATTTATGTAGATATGTTTCATCATGAATATACACTCAGTCATGTGTGTTTTACCCAGTCTGAAAAGGTGTACACCAATAATGAAAACAAACAAGCGAGAAAAGCTTACTTGTCACTTTTTCCAGACATAGTAGTCCCCCTAAAATAACAGGGTTTTATTTACACTCAATTCAGAGTAAGGAATTATAGTCTGGAACAGTGGAGAGGTCTCCTTTTACTTTAATGACTGAAGAAAAAACTTAAGCCACTTCAGTGACTACTAGCTCTGGCTGCACATCTCTTTACGCATGCCAGCCTGTAAAGCTGTGTAACAACCAGCTTGCAAGTGATATCTGTTTCCTCGGTACATTTAAGTCAACAGAGCTGATTTATTCAAAACAGGGTGGTTTCATTCGCTGCTGTCAGTAAGGTTTTGATGGCAGCCATAGCACTTCTAATTGTAGACGTGCTAACCGTGCAAAAATCCTAATTCGTCACTTAGATGAGTGGAGCACATCTGTGAAGGGGATTGTTTAGGCCTGTTATCATTATGTCACTCTGTATTATTAATGCAGACCTTGGGAAAGTTATCCAATAAAGCATTTATTTTTCCTTCTCACCCTCTAAATGTGCAGCTGAAACATATGATGCAAGAAGTGCATTGCTAAAGAGACAACATAATTGATTAGTCTGTGCTGTTTTCAGAATTTGTGTAGCTCATGTGTGGTTAATATTTGAAGTGGACAGATGCAGAGATTTCATAATATTTACTGAATCTTTTTGTGTGCTTATCACTCTGCACCTGTGTATCAGCCTGTGGAGGGTTTGTTTGATGTTGTCATGTGAAGAATCTGAAAACCTTTTTTTTCTTCTTCTGAAAAGTCATGACCTGTCCCATACTTTGAGTTTAGAAGGTTAAGTATTTATTAATTTTCATAACATAAAGTGTTTTTTTAATGTTGGGATTAAACTTGTCAAAAACAACAAAAAGTGTTTTCAACTGTTAATATCATGAAGAAAAGGCCCTAATTGAAAGAATTAAATTATTCAAAAGAAAACCTGGTAACACTTTACAATACGGGTGCACTAATAAGCATTAATTCATACTTAAGTAATGCACAGATAATCATGAGTTAATGTATGACTCATGAAGAACTAAACCATTAATTAATTGCATCTTCAACTAATAAAGAGTCTATATGATTAATAGATTAAGTAATAAATTAATTGCTATTAATTAAACGTGTCATCATGTATTAATTCCTTAATAACATATTTTATTAACTAATAGTGTAAATGAATGTGTTAATTACCACAATTATTCAACGCTATGCACATCAACTTCCAGTTGTCTGCTGTAATTAATCATTAGCTAATGATTTGCAAAGGTATCATTATGTTATGACTTTACTTGTTGAGGCACAATTTAATATATCATTGGTGAATAAATGTATTAATTTCTTTTAGAAAAAAAATCTTACTGGTCAAAAACACTTTTGAACAGTACTTTGTTTATTATTATTTTAAAGCAGTGAAGCTGTTTTGTTTTTATTATTTTGTCATATTATTAATATGTAAAAACCTTTTTTCATCAAATTAAAGTCATGTGGTTCAACATGCAGGACAAAAAAACAACAACGTAAAACCGGAAATTATATGATAGAGAGGACTCCTGCATACCCATATGACAAGCCAAGGTTAGTTCAGGTTGTAAAATCTCATGGGATTTGACCACTCTAGAAAATGATATTTATAAATGAAGAATTTATCATTTGCAAATATTTCTTGTTATTTTTCTTCTTCATCAGTTCATTGTTCATAAATCATTGAATTAAGCATAATGAATGACTCATTTATCCTTCTTCTGTGCCTCTTGCTTTATTTTTTTATGTGACGCTCTTCATAGAAACCCTATGCATGTCAGCTCCCAGGATGCACCAAACGCTACACCGACCCCAGCTCGTTGCGCAAACACATCAAGGTCCACTCCACTAAATCCCTGCAGGCACAGGACAAGGTAACAGTTTCAAGTGTTTGTTTTTGTATCGGGAGACTCTTGTAACAAGCTCACCCTCGCTCCGTAACTTAATAACCTAAAAAAAAATATGCACACACACATCTAGTTAGATTAACTTAATTACCTGATAAATTATGTCATTGTTTATTGCATTAACTTCAGTAATTGTCATCTCAGAGACCTTTGATGAAAATGCCTATTGTTTTATGGGCTGTTCCTGCTTTCCAAACAAAAGAGAATGAAGGAGATCTTTGTGTATTCCCATGGCTTTGGCATTCTAAACAAGAACACATGTGTTCCCGTAATACAGTTAATAAGCAGTGCAGTTCTTTTCCTCAAGAGGCCAGATGTGACATGCAAATAGCAAACATGCTCACCAACTCCACTGAATGCTTAAATGAATTAACAACAGAAAGTTTTCTCAGCCTCAATAAGACTGTGCCACTCCCACAGTCAAGCTATAGATCCTTGCAAAAACGTTATGAGCGGTACTGCTCTACAAAGGCAAAATGCGGGAAATGCGATACGTTGGAACAGAAAAAATGCTTTCATTTTTTATTTAATTTCTTTGATTTTTAAATTAGTTTTCACACTCTGATTTTCTTTTTGACTTTGGGTGAGCCAAATCCATAAATCCATGTCACAGGACAGATCCTAGTCTAAAGGCTCCATACTGGTCATGACCTGATGATTGTGTTTCAGATTGGGACATCAGTGCTGTAGATATGTTTTCTTTATCTTGACAGGTCCAGCTAGGCAATAAGGTGGAGCAGGAAGTTGTGGATGTGCGCATTGGCTTGCAGCATCTCCATGGCTCTACTCCTTCAGTACACAGCCCAAACTACAGGTGTCCCAGCTCCCTCACTAAGATTCATCAGGAAGGCTTTACTGGTAGGTGTGCTTGTGGGCAATGCTGCATTGGGCTTTTTGCTATGGAAGGCCTGAGAGACATTTTCCAGTTTGTGCTGTATAACTGAAGAAAGCAAAGTGTGCCTGATAGAAATGACCATCATGTTGAGTTTTAAATGCTGGTCCTGGCATCTTCTTGGCATCCTAACTAACCAGCTTCCACAGAAAGACTCTTCTTTTTTATTCTTTAGCTGGTCTTTTCTGCATGAAAGGCACCCATATTTTGTGGAAGGCCCCATGTTTTGTTTTTCTTTCTAGAAAAAAAGTACAAAATATTTTAATTTGTAAATTCGTAACGATTTGAGATGAATTTTATAGTTCTGTGTTTTATTGTATATTTGTACTACAATTCTCTGACAATTATCTCCAAAATGCTCAGTTCGAGCATTGCTTTGAAACACATAACCTTAAACTGTAGCCTAGTTTTTGAATAATTAGAATTTCTGAGTTCTCAATTTTAGAATTCTGAATTTGCAGTTCAGAAAATTTGAAGCTATAGTTATCAATGTACAGCAAATTTCACACAAAAAAGATGTTTAAAATAAAAATCTGAATACGTAAAAAAAAGTCAAAATACTTTTACTTATATACTTTTATTTTGATCAAAATACAAAATTCTAATATTAAAACTAAATATAGTATAATAGTATAAAACTAAACATATCAGTCATTATTAGTTAGACTAAAGTAAGATCCATGGGCGACTATAGATTCATCTGACGGTATGTGACAGCAACGTCTACTGTATCTCTAGATGAAGAACTGAAAACTGCTAAAAGCAACAGAGTCGTCAAAGACAACCATTTAGTGCATGTTTACATATGAAAACAAGTGATAAACAGCTCTGTTTGTTCTCCTGATAGTATCTGTTTGTTTAACTGACTGATAAATGGCTTCAGATGATTCAGTGGGAGTGCGTTCCAAACGAATGCAAATCGTTTAAGAACATTTTTGCAAACACGATTGGCCAATTCGCCCAAGAGAAAGAATCAACCCACAAGAATCAGTACTTCACGAATGATTGGAAACGTTGGTTTAGTCGACAGAAATACGGGACATAATAACTGCTGAAATATTTGCACAGAATACGTTTCTCAGGTCAGTCGGAGCGCTCATGGTAAGCACAGTGCGTACGGCCATACACCTGCAGACTCCACTGGTAAGACGTACAGTAAGATATACCGTTCAAAAGTTTGGGTACAGTTAGATTTTTTTTATTATCAATGTTCAAAACAATTGTGCAGCTTAATATTTTTGCAGAAACTGTGCTACATTTTTTCTTTGATTAATAGAAATTGGGTAACGCTTCCTTTTACAGTACAGTACTTACGTGTACTTACAGTGTGCTTACCTAGAAAGTACTGGCTAATATAAGGTAAGTATGGGTTAGGGGTAGGTTTAGGGGTAGGTTCAGGGTTAGTACCTAGTTATTACCCAGTAATTGTAATTACTATAATAAGTACCTAGTATGTACATGGGTAACAGGACTGTAAAAGGAAGCGTTACCAGAAATTGTTATCTTTTGTAACATTATAAATATTTTTGCTGTCTTTTAATCAATTTTGATGCATCCTTGCTGAATACAAGTATTCAGTTTAAAAAAAAAAATTCGGACTGACCCCACACTTTTGAAAGCTAGAGTAAAAGAACCCAATAATGCAAGTAAAAGATGGCATTGTGTAACCCCTGGACACAAGCAGTCTGTTACGTTGATAATAATAACGACTAGTTTCAACTTTCAATGCATAAACTCACTCGTTTATTTCCGGAACCACACAAACAACAGCGCACCTACGGTGGCCTCACAGTGTCAGAATGTGCAACGTAAAACAGGCATCCTGAATAGCAGAACTAGAACTGTATATATGTATACTGTATGTTTTACGTGAACACAACATTTCCCCCCCTCCTCCGAATGTTCGAACGTGAAAGGTAGCAACAAAGTCTTCGAAGTGCCCAGGGCGCTTACGAACCCTGACAGGCCGGGGCTCAGGAACAAGGGGGCCCGGCAGCACGGCTGAAGCAGGAGCGGTGCCCTGAGCGGCCGGAACAGCTTGGGCGAGAGGTGCCGCCACGGGATCCGGCACATGAGGGGCCGACTCAGTTGCTGGGTTGCTCTGCTCCACTCCTGCCAGGTGAGGTTGGTGAAAAGGGGAGGGCACTCTGCGCAGGCAGCTAGCGTGCCACCGGGAACCATCAGTCAGCTGAAATGAAGCTGGGCCGAGCTGCCGACTGACCTGGTACGGAGCCGACCAGAATGATGACAGCTTGTTAGCTCTGTGGGGCCGGCAGGCTCTGACCCAGTCTGACACTCTGATAGCAGGCCACTTAGCCTTGTGCTACTCAGCGAACCTCCGCTTCATGGAACTCTGTTGTCTTTTGACTTGAGCCTTTACTGCTGCTGGGCATGGCCGTGGGCCCGCGGCCATTGGTGGACGGAGTCTTGACAGGGGAAGCACAAGCTCCCTTTTCAGCATGAGTGCGGCAGGGGAGACCCCTGTTGTAGAGTGGGCAGTTGCTCTGTAGTGAAGGAGGGTCTGTGACAGTGCGGCCATCAGGGAGTATCCCTCAGACATGTGAGCACGCAGTCCATTTTTCAGGGATTGGTTGAATCGTTCCACCCCTCCGTTGGCTTGGGGGTGATAGACGGAGGTTCGGATATGGGTGACACCCTTGTTGGCAAGGAAGGTGGTGAACTCCAAGGACAGGAACTGAGGACCATTGTCCGTGGTAATTGCACGAGGCAAGCCCCAGCGGGAAAACAGCTGGTCGAGAAAGTTGACCACAGCAGCAGAGGTAACCGTACCCATGGGAGCCACCTCAGGCCACTTAGAGTGCAGGTCATAGACCACCACAAGGAACCTCTGATGGTGTGGCACGTTGTACAGCTCACCACAGATATCAAGCTGCAAGTGGTCCCATGGTGCAGACGGCCAGTCTACTGGCTGTAATGGAGTTGAAGCGGGTGGCCCAGTCTTCCCACTGGTGAGGCACGCTGCACAGGAGCGGATAAGTCCCTCCAGGTCACGGTCCATGGCGGGCCACCACACGACGTCACGGCACCGTTGTTTGGCTTTGACGATGCCGAGGTGTCCCTGATGTGCCATTTGCAAGACACACCCTCTGAGGGCCACTGGGATGACAGCACAGAGGCCACGAGCGATGCAGGCCTCACCCCAGCATGACAGTTCATGCTTCACTCGATAGTATGGCTCCAGTTCTGGTGGGACGCGGGCAGGCCAACCATGTCTGATATAGTCACGAAGCATGTTGACGACTGGCTCGGCTGCTGAGGCGGACTCCAGGTCGCGGAGGGAGACCGTGTCCTTCAGTGGTGAGTGGACCAGGTGTACTACCTCCTCCTCATCCTCTGGAGAAACAGCAGAGCACTGGATGGCGGCAGGGCGGGACAGAAAATCTGCTACAACATTAGTCTTGCCAGGCGTGAATTGTAACTGAAAGTCATATTGCTGCAGGCGGTCTGACCATCTATAGAGGCGAAGGGGCCTGTGTCCTCCGCCCAAAGTGGACATCAGGGCTGTCAGGGCCTGGTGGTCCGTCCGTAGGGTAAAAGACCGTCCATACAGGTACAAATGCCACCTTCCACACGCCCAAATGCAGGCGAGGGCCTCCCTCTCGCCCACTGAGTATTTCTGCTTAGTGGGGGTGAGCGCCCGGGATGCGAAGGCTACGGGCCTCTCCGTGCCGTCATGGAGCTGTGACAGAACGGCGCCCAGAGCCACAGCAGACGAATCACAGGTCACGAATGTGGGGCAGTCCAGCTGGAAGTGTGCCAGGATCGGAGATGTGGTGAGGAGACGCTTCAGTTCGTCAAACCCTGCCTGGCATTCAGAAGTCCAGGTCCAGGGAGCATCCTGCTTGAGCAGCAACCTCAGCGGGGCCGTGACAGAGGAGTACTGCGGCAGGAAACGCATGTAGTAGGCTGTCATCCCCAAGAACGAAGCCAGCTGCGAGGCTGTCGTGGGGTTGGGGACTGCGCTGATGGCTGCCACATTCGACTGTAGAGGGGAGATGCCATCTGCCGACACACGGAACCCGACAAAATCAATGGCTGGAGCGGAGAACGTACACTTCTCCATGTTCAAGGTGACATGATGGTGGCTGAGGGAGTCAAAGACCTGTTCCAGGCGGGCGTTGTGTGTGTCAACATCTGGCCCGTGTACCACAATGTCGTCCAAATAGGCCACGGTGCCGGGACAGCTGGCGAGGATTGTGGACATGATCTTCTGGAAACAGCTTGGTGCTGAACTGAGCCCAAAAGGCATCCTCGTATAGCGGTACAGGCCAGTATGGGTGATAAAAGCCGTCAGGTTCTGACTCTCCGGGTGCAGAGGAATTTGTAAGTAGCCCTGACGTAAGTCCAACTTAGAAAAGACCCGGGAGCCGTAGAAGTGGGTTGTCAGTTCTTCTGTCGTCGGAAGAGGGTACTTATCAGGCACCACTGCCTTGTTGACCTGATGAAGGTCGACGCAGACTCTCAGTCCACCTGACTTCTTCCTGGCGATGACGAGGTTGGACACCCACGGAGAGGCATCAATGGGTTCTATGATGCCATCAGCCTGGAGGCGTTGGAGCTCCTGTGTAACGCCGTCCCGCAGAGCCAGGGGAACACGCCGAAGGGGCTGGACCACGGGAGGCACACTGTGGTCCAGGAGTGGTTTGTGTGTGAATGAGGTGAGACACCCAAGGCCATTGAACAGTTCAGGCCGGCTTTGTTGCCAAGGGGAACCCACTTGTAGTATTCGTGTTCCGTTGTTGTCCTGTAGGGTAAAACCAAGGCTGAGAAAGAGGTCAAGGCCCATGATGTTCTCACCGTGGCGTGTGATGTGGAATGGGAAGCGGTCCACTGTTGTAGAGGTGTAGCGAACTGGGAGGTAAAGTAAGCCAACAACGTCGATTTTGCTGCGGCCGTAGCCACAGAGAGCAGTGGATGGGGGCTGCATCTGTCTATTTGGGAAGAG